GCTTCCAAGGTGAGCAATAAACAACTGCAACTCTGTATGAATTAAAACCGTCTGATTAGATTCATCGCCATCATCACCTCCACTGTCGAACACTAGTGTTTATGTATGACAGTTCTAAGCTATTCTGTATCGGATTTCTTTTTTTGATACAACACACATTGATACGATATTGTTCTGCTAAATGACATTTAAATACCGCAAACCTTTATCGATCTCATTCAACAACTATATAAAGATGTCACACGTCAAGTAATTCACAATGGGAAGCTCAGTGTTGCCTTTGAAGTGAAGACAGGAAGGAGTAAGACAAGGCTGTCTACTATCAACCATGATACTCCTGGTTGTTGTCGACTGCATCATGCATCACACTGTGAGGAGAAAGAAGATGGGCATACACTAGACCGATGAAAATAGCCCAGAAGAAGATTTGGATTTCGCCGATGATGATTTCTGTCTAGTGTCACACAAACTCGAAGATCTACAGCCAAGAACTAACAAGTTGGTAGAAGAGGTGAGGCAGGTCAGCGAAGGAAGACGGGACTTCAGGTGAAAGTAGAGAAGACACAGACGATGAAGATACCCAGCCAGTAGCAGCATCAACAACAACAACAAGCAGCAATCACTATCAACAGGAGAAATGTAATGGGAGTAACCTCCTTCACCTATCTAGGCAGCATCGTTTCAACTACAGGTGGCGGCAGTGGCACAGACGAGGATCTCAAAGCAGTCAGGATTGGAAAGACAGCAAGACAGGCGATCATTAACCTGAAACCAGTGTGGAGATCTACTTCATTGCACTCAGCATAAAGTGTGAACAACCTCAGGATTTTCAACACCAACGTCAAGTCAGTCAATGTTTCTAAATGGTTCAGAGACTTGGCGCACTATGAAAAGCATTTCCAACAAACTACAGACATTCATGAACAACTGCCTGCTACACTCACTCGAAACTGACACTGAAGATCAGATGGGTTGCCAGAATGATGAGAATAAGCAAGAAGGAACTCTGGCTGGCTGGCTGGCTTGCAACGTACCAACGAAGAACCCATTACCCAACAAATATGTAGAAGAAGTGGAAGTGGAGATGGATTGGGTATGGACTGAGGAGACCATTTGGTGACATCACGCGCCAGCCCAGTCACTCGAGTGGAAACTGAATGGGAAGCGACGAGTTGGGTGTCCGAGGTGAGGGTGACATGGAGAAGATGGTGTGAAGAGGAAACGAGAGCTTGTGGGTAGTGGTGGAGCCAGATTGAAAAGATTGCAGAGAAGAGAGTGGAATGTAGATGTGCTACTGCAGCCGTATGTTCCACTAGGAACCCAAGGGACAAATAAATAATAATAATAAATAAATAACATTTTAGGCACAAATTATTACTCAATCATAACCAATAAATCACACAAACTACAACGCAACTTTTTTATAGTTCTTTCACTTGTAATTATTTCTTCTTAGTGTTAGTAAAAGTCTCCACTAATAAAGAATATGTGAAGGATTGTTTTACGATTATTTTGATATAGTTATAAGCTATAGTAGTAGTCCTCAACACACCGTTTTCATTGTGTGCTGCACTAAGTGAAATATATTAAGTATTCAACTACATTCTTTCACAGAGCTCAAGGTTTACTCTTGTAATCTAGAGATGCACCTGATGACCTGTTTCAACGATATTTTATCATGCATCCAAGCTTATTTCAGGAAATTTGAATCAAATGACCAGTTGGTTCCAATAAACACTACACATTACTTGTGACTAACAGTTTAAAGCATAAATTCTTGTTCAACTGAAGCTGTGGACCCTAAATGAGCACAATACTCAGACAGTCATAGAATAATTGGTCTGTTTAAGACAGATTTACAGTATCACTGCTGTTGATCGCAGTCAGAAGAGGATATGTATAAGTTAATAATATACGACTATAACTTGGACAATGTAGTAGATTGTAATTCCTTTTTAGTCTGTTTATTAGAATAGTCTGACAGTAAGATAGTATTATTTACTGGATAACACATCAATAGTTTCTTGATATAAATGAATTCAGTAGTGAAGGCCATCCAATTCACCTATGACATAAAAAGTGATGAAGGTGAACTAGCAATTTTAGATCACGAGATTAAGTGAAAACAAGATGGAAGTTGAAGGACTACTATCTGTGAAAAACATTCTCATTCATATGACTCTAGGTCAGTCAAAGTGGGCTTAGTTAAGTGCCTAAATAATATGGCAAAACGCTTACTAGTAGGACAGAAAATCTGCAACAAGAAATTAGACACATCAAGAATACCAAGCATCTCGGTTAGTACTCATCTAAATTTATAAATGATTTCATAAGAAATAGAGAGAAAAATATAAACAGTAGTAATAGTAGCACAGAGGTCGGTAATAGTTCCACTACTACTAATAATAATGGTAGTAATGATGATGACAGGGTTGAGAAAGAACTCAAATCCTCTACAGTGTTATCATACAAAGAAGATACCTTGGGAGCGTTACGAAAGATTCGCAATAATGCTATAAGATAAGCATTATAATTGTCAATAAGGCTAGGGTTAGAGTGGTACGTAAACCAACTAACTCGCATAGAAATAAGCTTTATGTGTTCAAAGATCCTGTTGGTCCAGTGATTGCGAAGGCAAATACATTTAAGTGTCAAAGTAGTCCATCAGGGTCAATTAGAATAACGCAGAACAAAAACTTAGCTAAATCAAGATAGGTAGATCCTAATAAGATGAGGAATTTAATGAAAAACTCGTCTATAACCATGCATGCAAGTGAATACACACAGTATTGAACACTAACTTAGTTAAGTGGAGAAAGAGATTGATAACCAAAACTTTGACTATCGAATTACCAACAAATAAATGAAATAGAAATGATTCTACACCTATACCTTATCGCAAAGAAAGAGAGAAGATTAGAACTATATAAACCATATGGAGTTACCTAATATGATTATGGACAATAAATCATGCCCAAAACGTAATCCAGTGAATAATACTGTTTCAATCTTCATAAGCAGACTAAAATGGAATTACTTTAGTTTACCTAACAAAACTTTTTCACTATATATCGGTGTTTATTAGTATTTTATTGATACTTAATATTTCTCGTTGTTATACTGTGTCAAACAGTTCAATTTCTGTCGGGAGATGCACTTTTGTGCTCATCTTCTTGATGTCTTAGGGATGTCAAGCATATAGATAAACTGAAAGAATACTTTAAGCAATGAAAAATTTATTATCGAGTATTTTTTCCTGTAATCAGTTTTCAGTTTTCTTAGAGAACACTACCATGGCAAAGACACACCTGGTCACTTTTAAACTGTAACAGTTCTAACAAATTTGATGAGAAAATCTTTGTAAATTCAAGTAAATTCAGAGTTAATGTCACTACGTTGCAAAAGCGTGTATGATTGCTGATCCCTTTTTATTTAAATGTCAGCTGGTTGAATTTTGCAGATACTGATTCCTGCTAGGAATGATGAAAATGGTTCAATGATGATATAATCAACAAAGCATTCGAAAAAGGTTTCTCTTTGCTTCAACATTGTTAAAACACTTCGAATTATCGATCATTTATCAAGAAAAATAACAAAACCTTTCAGCAGTTCCTAAAATAGGAATTTTGACTTTTGATGACAAATGTTTTAACGTTTACTGAAATGTCATAACAGATCCACTTTGAATCAACACTTGTAAGCAGCTTTAAAGCTGAGCATAAATCTAATCATCAGTCGGTAAAGGTAATGTTACTTATCCAGTAGTTAGGTTGCCTACGAATGTCAATCCCTTATTTCGCTTTATAAAAAAACACTTGTCACTTATGTCAATACATCCCAGTAGATCTCTGAATAAAATTATTGCTCAGTAATCATTATAGTGGCCTACTTCGAGATGAAAACTTCTGATATTCCAATGAGCAGCTACATCCGTTGATCCAAATCAAGTTGGATATGAGAAAAAAATATATATTCAGTGACTTCATTGAATGAAGGTTGCACTTAATCATGAATTGAGTGAAGTAGGAGAATATAGACCATTTGATTTCGACCCATTGGCTGAATGATAACATCCTGACCACGAAACATGATAATCCTGTATTCATTTCTTGATGAGGCTATGAGTATGCACTGATGGGTAAGAAACAGCTTGAAAATCTTTAAAAAAGTACATTTTTCTGTCAGATCTTAGCCGAAACGTGTTTCCAAGTTCTCCAGACATTCACTTACCTAATTACTCTGTGACATTTCGAGATTCTTCATATCTACTTTATTTTAGATGGGAAGATAATGCAGTTAATTCTTCTTCACAAACTTTACTCTGCAATTAGATACAAACGTGTCTATCTTCTTGTCGTGTTGCAGTTGCCTTAAGGCTCATGCTTGAAATCTGCTTGTAGTCTAGCCCACTGTAGTTGATAACACAACATTTGAAGGTGTTTTAGTATCGACTTCATTTCAATGGGGAATATTTTTACCAGGGCAAGAATTGAAGTACAGTTCAGAAAATGCAGCACATTCGTGATCAGTTAGGGTTTGGTAACCAGGGCTACCTTCTGTACAAATATCACTATAATTTGGCTTTTCGACAGTAGTCAGTAGTACCTTAAAGAGTGGTAACATATGTCATTGGTTTATATCATCCATCTCCTAATCAATCTAATCTCCTAAAAGTACACAGCCTACAAACAAAGAGCTTGGTCCTGCCTTTAGAAGCTTATGAAGTTTACAGAACAGCAACATTTCCGGAAATTATCCAATGAAAATTGGTATTTCATATTATGTAGCCATTTTATCAGATGCCAGCTGAAAGCAATTTATTTCTAAGAAGGTGAACAAGACTTTGACATCTGAGTTTTCAAAGTTTCGTTTATTTGGTTATTTTTTATAATGTCGGATTTCATAATTTCTTATTTTTCACAACGGGACATAATACAGTTTGTACAACTTCAGTGAATTGTCCAGCAAGCGCTTTATCTACAGTTGAGTGTACAGTTAGTTCTTGGTCTACACCAGGGGTTATGTTTTGTGTACAATTACATTTTCGCTTATTTATTATTAGTCATTCGATTAAATAACAGTCTAATCTGGTCACAATAACTTATCCCAACATAGGCAGAACAATAATCCATCTTTCTAGCTTTACAAGATACCATATGATTCAGAAGGATATTTGAAACGACCACTTGAAGACTTGGAAACAGTTCTTCTGGATAATTGGCCCTTGGATAGAATGTAGATTTTAATTTTTGATAACGTTTATTTTGTTTCCGTGATTGAAACATTCGTACGTAAGTATTACAGACTGAAAGTCAACTAATGAGCTTTTTCCTTTCTTAGTGATTTTAAAAAATGCTGACTAGTCATATTTATTGGTTATTAAACACGACTTATATGGCTTTTATATACTCAGTAGTGTAATTTGAGTACAAGGTGGCTTAGTTCGACAAATGTTATTGGAATTTATTTACAAAATTATTGCGAATATTCCCAACAAGCATCTTATTAAGGATTATTTCATAGCTGTATCATTCTATAACAACTAGCCATTGATAGGTTTTCGTCTACCCTGTAGGTTTATAGGTAGGTAGGTAGGTACGTTGTTACAGGGTGTGTGTAGAGCAGTGTGAGTTTGATAATGATTACGGGAATCAGGAAGAGAAAAAAGTGAACCAGCGACTCAGCAAGTACGCAGAATGCTATTTATTATTATTATTTGTCACTTGGGTTCCTAATGAAACATAGAAATTCAGTAGCACGTCACCGTCTCAATCTCTTCTCTGCAGTCTTTTCAACCTGGCTCCACCACTGCCCACAAACCTTCATTCCTTCCTCACATTATCTCCTCCATGTCACCCTCAACACCAACACCCAACTCGTCCTTTCCCATTTGGATTCCATTCGATGGTCTGGCCTAGTACGTGATGTCTCCAATCGGTCTTCTCAGTGTATGCCCAATCTAATCAAATCCAATCCATTTCTACTTTCATCTGCATATTTGTTAGGCGATGGGTTCTTGTTTGGTTTGTTGTGATCCAGAGTTCCTTGTTGTTCATTCATGGTATTCTGGCCATTTGATCCTCAATATCAGTATCGAGTGAGCGTAAGCGGTAGCTGTTCATGTGATGTATTTCTGCAGTTTGTTGGGAATAGTTTTCATAACGCTATATAATACTATTCCATCGTCATCTCCAAGTGCTACCATTCAGCCGTGAGTTCGTAGTTTCTTCTAGGTAGTCCTCAATAATTATTTTCAAATGCCAAGTGTATTTCCATAAAGCCACAGGTAGGAAACGACTTCAGGGTTCAGAACAGACAAGCAGCACACTAAGCTACTTCGCTAACTGGGAAATATAGAGATTAAACATTGATGCTGTTTCTCTGTCATGTGGATCAGAATTCAAGTCAGAGATTTAGGAAGTTGTCTCTTTAGATAGCCACTTTCTTTCATTTGAGCTTCCAACTGGTATCATAGCCATGATATAAATCATGAAACATTTGCAATGTGGGCATCAAATCAGTTACCTAACATTCCTGTGAAGCACCAAATTCATGGTAAAATTGTTTATTCAGTTTATTGTCATTGCATCGTTTCAATTACAAGTGGCACAGATGAGGACTTCAAAGCCAGGATCGGAAAGACAGCAAAACAGGCCTTTATCATTTTGAAATCAGTGTGGAGATCTACTGCACTTAGTATCTGGAACAAGATCCAGTTTTCCAAAACTAATTTCAAGTAAGTTAGTGCTTCTATGTGATAGTTGAGAGATTTGAAGCGTTATGAAAACCATTCCCAACAAACTGCAGAAATACATCACATGAACAGCTACCGCTTACGCTCACTCGATACTGATATTGAGGATCAAATGGCCAGAATACCATGAATGAACAACAAGGAACTCTGGATCACAACAAACCAAACAAGAACCCATCGCCTAACAAATATGCAGATGAAAGTAGAAATGGATTGGATTTGATTAGATTGGGCATACACTGAGAAGACCGATTGGAGACATCACGTACTAGGCCAGACCATCGAATGGAATCCAAATGGGAAAGGACGAGTTGGGTGTTGGTGTTGAGGGTGACATGGAGGAGATAATGTGAGGAAGGAATGAAGGTTTGTGGGCAGTGGTGGAGCCAGGTTGAAAAGACTGCAGAGAAGAGATTGAGACGGTGACGTGCTACTGAATTTCTATGTTCCATTAGGAACCTAAGGGATAAATAATGATAGTGACAATAATACAAATTGTCGTTGCATCCCTTTTATTTCACACCTGAAGTGTATTTTTTTACGTTTTAATTTTTAATTTGATCTTATTTGCATCGTTGTTTGTCAGCTATATGTCACTGGTTGAACTTTTAGTCACTTTTTACCACTATAATTTATTAAACAGTTGCTTCCATAAAGCAGATCATCAATGCAAAAAGGGAATCAACTCTTCTGAAACTATCCACAATGTTGGGTCTAGTTGCCTGCGACATTCGGATATCAGTACAGATAAGACAGGAAGTAGACTTGGTTGGAATCACAGAACGTCTCAATCTTGATCAAAACTGTGTCTCACAGACACTCCAAAAAGATCACAACAAAGAGTTTCGGATAATTTCACCATCTGTTAACTGAAAATGTGTTTAGTGTATGCTTATCCACAGACCTTCTAACATTGGCATCTGGCCTCATTGTTTCAAGTGTTACACAAATTACTGGAGATGAGGCTACCCTGTTTGACTGGATCTACAAAAACAATCGTCTGCATACTGCTTGGCTAAGAGATTCGATTGAAGTGAAGAATAATTGAATAGGGAAACGATATCTCTTCATGATAGTCAGGGAATTGTTTGAGAAAGTTTGACAGGCCTGCGGTTAAACTCCGCTTTGGACTGAAGCCGGTTTTAAAACTATCTTTGAAATGTGTTAAGGTAATTCATGTTACGATCATTGGGGTATCAGTCTGCTGTTGGTGGTATCTAAAGTATTAGCGACCATCAATATTAGCAGGCTCTCGAAGATGCACAAAAATGTGGTCTGAGAAGGCAAAGTGGTGATTATGTGTTCACCGTCCACCTAATGTTAAAACACTGCCACATATGTTGTATCACAACAGTTATTTTTGTTGCTCAGTATCAGGGCTGCTTCCGATTCGTTGAACGGGTTTGTATCAAGAAAATTGTTTGTTATCTCCTAAAAGCTTCTTGATATCTTCGAGGCCATGTACTCAAACATCTCAGGTAGAGTGAAGGCAGAAAACCGCCCTTCTACATATTTGCAAAGAAACAATGAGGTCGGCATTGCTTTTCGATTTCGTCATTCCTTTTTAAATATGCCAAGAGTGATACTGCTGAGAGAGCTCTGAAGGAGGTGAGTGGTGGTGCAGATCTGCCCTAGGTCAAAGAATTTTCAACCTTCAGTGTGGGACAACATACAGATCACGAAATAGTACAAAGCCAGTCAGCTATCGGTTTTTATGTGGTATGTGCTTTTCCCTATGGAGATTCAATGTGTTTTTACAAGAATGGTGGTGAACGTTTGAAAGTTATCTAAAAGTTCGCGTATCCTGGGTAACTGTGTGAATGTTAGTAGGTGTGTTCCTGATAAAATTTCCAACCATATATCGAAATACAGAGCAGCCCACATCTAATTGATTTATATGCGAATTTCTCATGATATCGGTGTTGTTGTGGAAGGTCCGATTTACAAAGTATCTGTTATGGCAGTCTCTACGCCTGTTAAGCCTGTCTTCTGTGATTTGAAGATATCTAACGACTGCCTGCACGATCATTATTTTCTCAGAAGGATTACTAATATTTAGTGAAGACACCATCTAAATAATTTTAACGTTGATCAGAACTTTTTGGCTTGATAGAGATCGTCATTCATTAGGCGAAGTCATCTTGAAATGCCACCACCGTTAGTTCTAGCAAAATGTCTAGTTTTCATCCGATCGGCTCCTAAACTTTCATCGTCTGTCTGCATTATGAATGATTGTAGAATAAAGGATACTTTTGTTGGTTTTGCTTCTGCTGATGTTTCATGACCCCTGGATGGGGTCAAAGAAACCATGCACCTCAGTGGTTTAAGACCATGGATGTATGCTTAAGACTGTTTCTTTGGTGACTCAGTTCTATTGTTGTTTCTGTTCTTTACTCTTTTCCGTTAACCAATATAACGTTTATCTCCTGCAGCATACTTCACCTATACTTCTGAACATTGTTATATTATTTTCTGTGCTGCAATTGTTGGCGTCCACGTTTTAAATATAGTAGAATGTTACTGTTTTGGTATCATTTCAAAAGTGTTCAAACCGACAACTAACAGGTGTCATTATAACCAAATGAACCGACAATAATGCGTACTTTTCTTCTGCTAACCAGAAGTTATCGCTTGAAATGACATATTTCTTGATATCCATCGTGGATGAAGTGTATGTTTGTTATAAATAAAAAGAATATTTATATAACCTTTTCTGAGTCATAAATTATCAGATATTCCACGGCCTGTTATTACACTTTTCTCTAGGTTTGATCTATAATCAGCGTTCACGATTGATAGCTACTGAAAATGTTTATTAATATCGACAAAATTAATTTATTCTTTGTAGAACTATCACGAAGGAGCATAACGGAAGCCTATCCTATGCTAAACCAACCCATAATTCAGTGATTTTATGGGTGCAAGAGTTGAAAAAAATCAGACTTGATTAGATAAATTGTCACACCTATTGATAAACGTGAAGGAATCTTCTTAGACTGACCAGCCCCCCCCCCGCCATATACTTCATAAAGTTAAAGGGGAACTGAGTACCATATGTCGCTTTATAATTGTTTTTCTTGTATCCTTCAAACTCACCGATAGAACACGGAAAATCCTGGCATTCACAAGTTATACGGTAGATATACATAACGATACACATTGAACGTTAAAATTCAGTAATGATGTTACTTCTCTGAATGAATTTCGGTCAAGACTTAACCACATAAGACTTAGAGTATTGGATGCCAAATGAAGTTAACATTAGTTTTCTTAGAGTCTTCTGAACTTTTATTGTCTTTCTAGACAACATCATTCGCACTGACCTCATTATGAAGTAGGACATCATTATTCCAGTTTAGAGGTTTTTGGGGATTTATTTATTGGTTTCAGCTTGGTATTTATCAGTTGGAGAAACATTGGAAGTCTGGGAGTACTGGACAGCTGTTTCGTCCCAGTATTGGACACCCCAGCAATTTGTATTGACAGGATTCCGACCTAGTAACTCGACGGTAACGTGCTGGCTATGAAACCTAAAGAACCTGGCTTCGACTTCTAGCGGAGTCATGGGTGCAAATTACTGAGGAGTCACATACTGGGACAAAACAGCTGTCTTGTGCTCCGAGGTTTTCAATGATTCTCCAACTGATGTCAGTCCACTATGAACATCAACTTGATATCAGTACTTCTGCATAAGTGATTCAATGGTTTTAAGTGAAGGAGAGGTTAACAGTTGGGAGGCCCTCAGGTGTAACAAGTTGATTTATTTTAAACTTCAGAACAAACCATCGGTAACTGATGATAAATAGTAGATATATAGCCTTAGAAATTTTTGATAGGAAACTATCGATCACGAAATCTTTCGTCAGCACAAGCTAATGAATCATTCACTGAGAGATACTGATAGCTCACTTCATATTGAAGTCAGTGTTGATAATTTTGTCTAGAAAGACAATGAAAGCTTCACGATTCAACGACACATAACTCAAAGAACACAACACAACCAAGATGACTCACTGAAGTTACAAAGAT